ATTTGTAGTGCACTGGTTCCGATGTTGCTGCGCCAGTCGGTAAGGACATCCCCAGCCTATATGGAAGTTAGTGAAAGACATGAATGGTTGACAAAGGAGTGAGTCTCTTATGAGAGCGATGATGGCGTCGACAGGTTCCTCCACCGTGGACTGTGTGTGTTCATACATATCGAGGTCTGGGAAGACCTCGTTCCATATGTCCTGGACGACGAGCGGCGTAAATGCGCCAATAGAACTGTAAGCGCAAAGCTCCACAGCTCCCCTGTCAATAATTGTTGCATGCGCAACCTTCTTCCACTTTGCGACATATGCTGCACCCAAGGCACCACCAGGGAATGGAAGTGAGCTGGTGGTGAACTTGCCACGCTTGCCGCGACCTCTGGGTCCACTGGCATCGACGTTGGTGACAGACTTCTCAGTAATCTTGATTTTCTAAGGGTGATAAAATCAAAGCTTTGAAAAGAAGGAGAAGACGATTAACTCACTGGTTCAACCCCCTTCTGTCCCTCTCGAACCTTGACCATTGACGGTTTTGATGCTCGCACAGCAGCCAGGCCCTCTGAGGTCTCCTCCTGGTTGAACTCACCCAAATCACAGTCGTCAAGTTGATCGTTGTCAACGTTTCGAGCAGGAGCGGTTTGTTTCTTCATACCAGACTGGTAGCCTACCTGCTTCTGCCAGCCGGGGAGTAAGCCGCCAACCGTTTTCTTTCCTCACTTCGCACTAGTTCAGTCCCCTATATCAACACAATGTTGCTACAGCAAAATGTGTACTCACCTCAGTGTGTCCTCAACTGTTGCAACATCCTTGCGTTTGTTTGTTGATACGACAGCACCAGCAATGGCTGGATTCTGGTGGAGTTCCTGAATGTCTTGTCGAAATGTTCCACGAGGTGGTGCCTGGAGAGGATGTGTCAGAGGGGATGTTGCACAAACTGGTATGTTACCTTGTTCTTTTTGGCCTTTGCGACCTGTTTGCCTTTTACAGAAGGCAGCACAGCTTCTTCATCATCAGTTTGGTTCTGTTCCATCACGAAGTCTTCGCCATCTTCTCCTTTGTCTTCCCACTCGCCAACTCCCAAACCATCTCTCTCGCTGTCGACCATCGACTCGGGGGGGATGCCCATCATGCCATCTGAGAGGCCCCTGTCTGCATCAACATCAATGGCCTCGTTGGCTGCATCCCCCTCCACTGGTTCTTTGGACCTCATCGATGCACTTGAGGGTGGACATGTAACACGGTAGGTAAGTCCTTTCTGGCAGATGACTGGAATCTTCATTGAATCATCCACCAGCATAGGTACTGTGTCCCCGACTTGTGCTGTTGTTGCCTTGCAAATATAGGCAGAAGTTAGATTCGGGTAAGCATGGATTGGTGGTATTTACATACGCAGTTGGTAGAAACTGACGACTTGTGAAGGTCTGGATGCATAGCCTGACTGGCACTTGCGCAGGACTGGTGGCTACCACTTTTATCTATAACCTAGACTTAAGCCTAGAGAGTCATTTCTATAACTTAGACTTAAGCCTAGAGGCCATATCTATAATGCTTAGGATTTTTTGAAAGGCATTTCAAATGTAGGCCTGGGTATTTCATTGTGATTTTTCAAATGTATCCCTGGATATTTCATTGCAAAATTTCAATGGATACCTGGCGCATTTCATTGCGATTTTTCAATAAATACCCTGGGCATTTCATTGCAATTTTTCAAATGTATCCCTGGGTATTTCATTGCAATTTTTCAAATGTATTCCTGGGTATTTCATTGCAATTTTTCAAATGTATCCCTTGGTATTTCATTGCAATTTTTCAAATGTATTCCTGGGTATTTCGTTGCAATTTTTCAATAGATACCCTTGGCATTTCATTGCAATTTTTCAAATGTATCCCTGGGTATTTCATTGCAATTTTTCAAATGTATTCCTGGGTATTTCATTGCAATTTTTCAAATGGAGCCCTGGGCATTTCATTGTGATTTTTCAATAGATACCCTTGGCATTTCATTGTGATTTTTCAAATGTATCCCTGGATATTTCATTGCAATTTTTCAAATGTATCCCACATGTCAGGGTCCATGCAATGGCAAAAATGGTCAAAAAACGAAAGTTGTAGCCCTACACTGTAGCTTCCCGAATCTGTGTGAATTATGTTCTGAAGTGCTCCCGTTGTGGAGATATGAGGTAAAGGAATTTCAAAAGTGTCACGTTTTTTTTTTTTTTTTGTTTGTTTTTCTCTATGAAAACAAAACCAAATAACATGATTTCAGTATATTCAGAAAGCTAAAAGAAAGGGCTACAATTATTGTATCATGGGAAAAATGACCAAAAAAGGAAGGTGCATCCTGTACTATAAGAATCAGATATAGACTACCAAGTTTACTGATAGACTACAAAAAAGTCGGACTTAGACTACACAGTTTACTGACACACTATAAAAGACTAGAAAAGTCGAAATTAGACTACAAAGTTTACTAATACACTACAAAAGACTACAAAAGTCGAACTTAGACTACAAAAGTGTGGACTTAGACTACATAGTTAGGGTTAGAGTCAAAAGGTTATCTTGACTACAAAGTTTGTAGTGTGCGCTTTTTCATTAAAAAAGTTTGTAGTGTCCGCTTTTTGAGACTACAAAAGTTGTAGTGTTGCGCTTTTTCATTAAAAAAGTTTGTAGTGTCCGCTTTTTGAGACTACAAAAGTTTGTAGTGTTGCGCTTTTTCATTAGAAAAGTTTGTAGTGTCCGCTTTTTGAGACTACAAAAGTTTGTAGTGTTGCACTTTTTCATTAGAAAAGTTTGTAGTGTCCGCTTTTTGAGACTACAAAAGTTTGTAGTGTGTGCTTTTTTATTAGAAGAGTTTGTAGTGTCTGCTTTTTCATTTAAAAAAGTTTGTAGTTGACATGTAGTTTATGGTGTCCTTGGCCCTATCTATGTTATGGGGATGAGGTTGAAGGATTGCCATCATATTGCCAGTGCTGCAGCATTAGTATTTGACATCATGCACAAGTTGTCTTTCACATTAGGAAAGGCCATTCTATGTCTTTCATATTGATACCTACTGTCCTATCTCAAGACATAATTGTAAGCTCATATGGGGACATGGCTGAAGGATTGACATGACTTTACATATTGCTATTGCCACATCATCAGTTCCTCACATCATGCCCAAGTTGGCTTTCAAGCTAGAGAAGGCTATTTATGTTGATATCTACTCAATACATGGTCAACTTACAACATGACCTGTCTTCAAGACACCTCAAAGGATGAATCAGCCCATCATCCTACAGCCCTCAAAGACCTGTATCAAAGTTGACTATGTTTGGGACAGGCCAGTAGTTATCAATGTGAAAGCAGACAGCGTAAAAGGCAAACTTGGTCGTGATGTCAAAAACTGGTCATGTCATGTCAATGACCTTGCAATTATGTCTTGAGATAGGACAGTAGGTATCAATATGAAAGACATAGAATGGCCTTTCCTAATGTGAAAGACAACTTGTGCATGATGTCAAATACTAATGCTGCAGCACTGGCAATATGATGGCAATCCTTCAACCTCATCCCCATAACATAGATAGGGCCAAGGACACCATAAACTACATGTCAACTACAAACTTTTTTAAATGAAAAAGCAGACACTACAAACTCTTCTAATAAAAAAGCACACACTACAAACTTTTGTAGTCTCAAAAAGCGGACACTACAAACTTTTCTAATGAAAAAGTGCAACACTACAAACTTTTGTAGTCTCAAAAAGCGGACACTACAAACTTTTCTAATGAAAAAGCGCAACACTACAAACTTTTGTAGTCTCAAAAAGCGGACACTACAAACTTTTTTAATGAAAAAGCGCAACACTACAACTTTTGTAGTCTCAAAAAGCGGACACTACAAACTTTTTTAATGAAAAAGCGCACACTACAAACTTTGTAGTCAAGATAACCTTTTGACTCTAACCCTAACTATGTAGTCTAAGTCCACACTTTTGTAGTCTAAGTTCGACTTTTGTAGTCTTTGATAGTGTATTAGTAAACTTTGTAGTCTAATTTCGACTTTTCTAGTCTTTTATAGTGTGTCAGTAAACTGTGTAGTCTAAGTCCGACTTTTTTGTAGTCTATCAGTAAACTTGGTAGTCTATATCTGATTCTTATAGTACAGGATGCACCTTCCTTTTTTGGTCATTTTTCCCATGATACAATAATTGTAGCCCTTTCTTTTAGCTTTCTGAATATACTGAAATCATGTTATTTGGTTTTGTTTTCATAGAGAAAAACAAACAAAAAACAAAAAAAAACGTGACACTTTTGAAATTCCTTTACCTCATATCTCCACAACGGGAGCACTTCAGAACATAATTCACACAGATTCGGGAAGCTACAGTGTAGGGCTACAACTTTCGTTTTTTGACCATTTTTGGTAATTGGTCATGTGACCACCCTCCAGGGAAGCCCATTGCATGGACCCTGACATGTGGGATACATTTGAAAAATTGCAATGAAATATCCAGGGATACATTTGAAAAATCACAATGAAATGCCCAGGAATACATTTGAAAAATCACAATGAAATACCCAGGAATACATTTGAAAAATCACAATGAAATGCCCAGGGATACATTTGAAAAATCGCAATGAAATGCCCAGGGTATCTATTGAAAAATCGCAATGAAATGCGCCAGTTATCCATTGAAATTTTGCAATGAAATATCCAGGGATACATTTGAAAAATCACAATGAAATACCCAGGGATACATTTGAAAAATCGCAATGAAATGCCTAGGGTATCTATTGAAAAATCACAATGAAATATCCAGGGCTGCATTTGAAACTTCGCAGAAAATGCACTGCGTATCTATGGAAAATTCACTATGAAATACCCAGGCCTACATTTGAAATGCCTTTCAAAAAATCCTAAGCATTATAGATATGGCCACTAGGCTTAAGTCTAAGTTATAGAAATGACCCTCTAGGCTTGGGTCTAGGTTATAGAAATAAAGTGGTAGCCACTAGTGTGCGCGGTCCACGACACGGATGCTGTCCTCAAGTTGGGTGATCCGAGCCTTTGTCGCAGCTTCCTTGGTCGCTGCAACTGAGGCGGTAGCTGCAACAACAGCAGCTGCTGCCTCATTATCAGCCTTGACTTGGGCAGAGGTGCGTTGTTTCATTGTGCTATTGAGAAGGATCTGTGCAGGATGCTGATTAGCATTTGCACGCTTAGGACGACTCGCCGACATATTGGAAGACATTGGAATTTGTTGAATGTGACAGAGGGGAGGGTGATGAAGAAGTTGGGA